TCGGCTCGCTGCAAAGTCCACCTCTCAGGTTCAAGCGATTCTCCTGCCTCAGCCTCCTGAGTAGCTAGGATTATAGGCACCCACCACTGCACCAGGCTAATTTTTCTATTTTTAGTAGAGACGGGGTTTCTCCATGTTGGCCATGGTTGGCCAGACTGGTCTCGAATTCCTGACCTCAGGTGATCACCCGCCTCAGCCTCCCAAAGTGCTGGGATTAGAGGCATGAGGCACCACACTCAGAATAAAACAAGCTTTTTGTATTAAAGCTTTACATCTTTTTCTTGTTGGACTTGAATTTCCATAGAATTTTATGCTAATAAGTATATAATTTTTGGTTTTATTTGTACTCTATCATACTTCTCAGTGTGTGTGTTTATATATAAATATCAACTGGAATATTTTTCTTGTTTCCAGGTTTATTGAGGTATGGTTGACAAATAAAAATTGTATATATATGGTGTACATGTTTTGATAAACAGTGTGAAATGGTCATCACAATCAAGCGAATTAACATATCCATCACCTGACATAATTACCATCATATTAACTGGAATTTTACATTTCTTCTGTAAGTGTTAAAAATATTCCTCTGAATTATCACTACAGTTTTTATTTGCACACAATTGTCAAAGACAGCGTGCAAGTATAAATGTTGATAAGTAATCGTTAAACATGAAAAGCAAATCGAAATTACATTTCTTAGTAATATGGATGGGCTGATTTTAAAAAATTAGCTCATGTATTCATGGATGCATAGGACTTATTGCTGGAATGAGGCAAGGTTCAGCAACAATTCAACAATTTATTCCTATTTTTATTGTACCAGTTCCAGGAAAAACCCTTAATTGGCTAGGCGGTTCCGGCTGCCAGACTCTTGGAAGGCAGGTGCCTTATTTATATATATATATATTTTGATATGACTTTGATATTGCTTTATTTTGATATTACTAGCACATTATTATAGATGTAAGCACCGAGAAATCTTGCTTGTACAAGTATATATATATATATCTGAAAGGAGGAGTTTTGCTATGCAAGTGTCACTCAATTTGTTGAACTCTTGCTAAGTATATGCTAAATGCTACATAATGATCTATCAACCAAAAATTATTTTTAATGATGTTTCAGCTCCCAGCTTATAGGTTTTTCAATTTTGTTGAAAGCAAAGACCTAGAATTATATGACTTGAGATATTCTTTGCATCATTTAGTTTCTCCATTTCTGAAGCACACCAAAAAGACATTTACTTAACATAAAACTATTAATTTTACTTGTTTTTCTTTCTCCAACAGACACCATTTTTCTTTTTTCTTGTTTTTTGTTTTGTTTTGTAGAGACAGGGCCTCACTATGTTGACCAGGCTGGTTTCGAGCTTCTGGCCTCAAGCAATCCTCCTGCTTTGGCCCCCCGAACTACTGGGATTATAGGCATGAGCCACCATGCTTTGTCTCTCAACAGGCATCTTGTTTAGCCTAATGTACTTAGAGAAATTAGCACATGTTTTTTCATTAGGTATCTTTCACTACAATATTATTTCTAAAGTACTTTCATTTCAACACATGCTTTAATTCTATTTTCATCAATAGCTTGTAAGTGCAGCTTTAGCTCATTCAAGATGCCTGCTGTATACTGCAATCTATACGGGAAAGCCCATCCTCACTGTCAAACCAAATAGTCAAATAAGAGTTGTCCCTCTGTCATATGACATCTTATATTCTAGAGCCTCTCCTCGAGACTTGGGCTTCTCACAGCATGGTGGTCTCAGAGCAGTTTCTCTTCTTATAGGGTGGTGGTTTTCAAAGAATCAGGAAACAGGAGCTACAAGGCCAGTTAAGGGTTACACGTGGAACTGACACAGTGTCATTTCTATCCTGTTCTATTGATCAAAGCAATTACAGGGCCCTCTCAGATTCAAGGGGATGGAGAAATAGACTCCCCTATTTAGACCAAGGGGAGGAAGTCTCTGAGGGAGTCTCAGAGTCACATTCAGAACACCATCGGGATGGTAGATATTGCCACCATCTTTGGAAAATACAATCTGCTATAAACAGTTTCTGAGATTGTTTCAGTAATATTTAGAAACTGAGAAAACAACCTCGGTTGGGTTCAGTGTCCTACAGGCTCTACCATTAGGTGGACTCCTGTCCAAACTCCATTTATCTTCTGTCCATCTGATTAATGGGTCACAGTGACTTTCTGGGTCCTCAGGAATTAGTGTGATCTCAGAGCCAGTGTCCAATAATCCCCCAAAGATGTACATTTTTCCCTTTCCCAGTGCACATTTACTAAGGTAAAAT